TAATTATTTTTTTTATATAATAAATATATATATATATATATATTTTAATTAACTTAAATAAGAGAATAGAAAATGTTTTCATAGTATATAATTCAAGTAAAATCTATCACGTTAGTTTTCATTAAATAGAGAAACATCAACGACCCCGGTGAATGTTGTTTAATCGTCTTCTAACGTATCTAATGTATCGTACAATTGTAACGCTTTGTTCAAACACGTAGCTAGCTAGAATCGAGATAGGAAATAGCTATGAGAAGCAGAGATACTTTGAATCTCTCGATTCACCATTGGTACGTGATAGGTATATCTAAAGTACATCGAGCGTAAAGTCCGAAACTGTCCTATCACCGAAAGCTAACTTATCGAAACAACCTTTTCAACCACGATCAATAATTTTCATCAATGAAATTTCAACTTATCGATATGCGTCTTCTAATCTTTGCAAAAAGAAAATTACGAATACAAAAAAATATATTATATATATATTTAAATCTTAATTAATTTTACGAATGCATATATAATTTATTTAAAATAACAGAAAAATATACGAGTTATACAAATATATATTCGAATTTAAATGATACATAATATTTTGTTTAGGATTTAATTCGAAAAGAAAAGAGAAAAACAAGAAATATTCAGAAGTTTCCAAAATGTTATTAATATTATATTACGACTTAAATAATTATTTGATTTTTTTTCTTTTAATATATTTCTATAAAAGAGATTTTTCTAATACATATTCATAGAAATTCAATTTTCATTAAATTAAAAATAATTTAATATCAAATCTTTTTAAATCTTTGAAAAATAAGTTTCTTGTATGCACTCACAGAATCATATACATATATACGTTAAGTACCTAACTTCCTGATCCACAAAATATAAAAGAAAAAGAAAATACATATATCTATATCTATACATTATATGAATAAAAAATAAAGAATCTATAATCTACACACAATGTTTTAATAAAAGTCTTTTATCTCATCATAAGAGACAAATCAAGAAACAAGTTTTAACAAAAAAGCCAGAATAATAAGGACACTTTGATCATTTAGGTTTTATATATATATATATAGTCTGTTCAAGAGCCGAAGAATATATTATACTAGAGAGAAAAAGGATGAATAACAAGGTAACCAAGTCTACAAACGCTCCATCGGCTTTTCGAAGAACAGTTTAATCCTTTTTAATTAAATGCTCCTTCGATCATCCTATCTCTAACCCCCACGTTCTACTACTACTACTATTACTACTACTACTACTACTAATACGCATTACTAACGTTCCCATCTCAACCACATTTTTCCAGATCCTTTATATCTTTTTCTTATCGTTAAAAACTTTCTTTTACCAACCGACCGTTTTCTTTCTTTAAAACCTTCAAGATTCACGTTAACGTAACACCGGTTCGCGAACTTAAATATATAAATATAAACGTCGTACGTATTTTTACGAGCATATACTTATACTCTTACTATTATACATACATATTATATATATATATATATATTTGTATGTATGTCTCTTGAATGAAATAAATACGACGATGGTAAAATAATCGATATATATATATATGTTGAAGATATTATTTACGAGTAGGGGGAAACGTATGATATGATACGATACAAGATATTTTACTTGATATATATTACTTGATACTTTGGACATATCTTTTCTACTTATATCTTCTTCCCCACCATTTTTCTATTTTTTTTTTTTTTTCTATTAACATGCATCTATTGTCTTTTTTTCCTATCAAAATATATTTATGTTACTATATGTTATCAATGCAAAGCGCCTTCCTATAAATTGTACAACTTTGCTATTTTTTTTGAAAAGTTTTGGTAAATATTTTTTATACTAAAAGTTAATAGATTGTAATGAGATTTATATTAAATTAAAGTACACTCTTTTGTCTACGCGTAGAATACTATATCGAGTTATAAATTTAGCATATAAAGTTCAGAAAATGTCAGATAATGCAATGCTGTAAATTGTGCATCTTTGCAATTTCTTTGAAAAGTTTTGCTAAATATTTTTTATACTACAAGTTAATAGATTTTAATGAAACTTATATTAAATTAAAGTACACACTTTTGTCTACGCGTAGAACACCATATCGAGTTATAAATTTAGCAAAACTTTTCAAAGAAATTTGCAAAGATGAACAATTTTCAGCATTGCATTCTCTGACATTTCTAGCAATGGCGGATTTTCGGCTATGGCGGTAACATATATATATATATTTCTTTTCTATTTCTCTTACCTTAACCAATGTCTTTTCGTTACAGGTGTGTGGCAACATATGGCATCGTACTGATCGGCAATCCAAACTATCAATATGATGTAAAATGCAGTTGTGGTATCATTAAAAAACTCCGACATGATAGCTTCCATACCTATAATAAACATAATAAATAAATCTTACATAAATATCACTTATATAAATATTAGAATTTTTTATATTGTCAAAGTAAAATTATTTTCTCTATTTTCAATATATACTTTCGATAAAATATTTAAAGAAAAGAAAAAGAAAAACGATATTTTTGGAATACGTTTGATTGTATCTCTCGCAGGTAAGAAGAAGAAGAAGAAAAAATAAATAAAGAAGGAAGTTCTATTTCGTACACGAAAAAAAATGAGAAAAAAGTAGGAATGATAGTGACTAATGATCCTATGCTGTTAAGTTTATAAGACTCGATGCTACTCTCTTCTTAACCATTCTCTATTTCTCTCTTTCTTTCTTTCTACCTTCTTCAAGTACAAGGATAGACTGAATGTGACTTTCTTTGTAATCAGAAACTCACACGTCGCTCGGTTTTTTCACGATCGTTCGTTTCTCTTTCCGAAACGTTGAATAAAATTAATCCTATTAAATGCTGCACGTGTTTTGTGTGTGTATGTGTGTGTGTTATACATAACTTAAACATCACATTACTACACTTCAAATCTATTTATTTAATTGCATTTTTCTTTCTTTTTTTTCATCAAGTAAAAATTCATATCTGATAAATATATGTAAATTATATATACTCGCATATTTAAAATAATTAAGAGAGATAATATATTCGATCGTATAAAATGAAAATATTTACTTCAACTAATGTGAAAGAAAAAAACAAAAAAAAAGTTTGTGAAAAAAGTAGAAAATATTTCGTTAAAGAAAATTATAATATTATACTCTATATATACCATACACATCATAAATTGTACATTAGAAAAAAAAAAAAAAACAGAAAGAATATATTAAATTAAATTATAAATAAAGTACAATGTGATAAGACATTGTAAAAAAGACTTTATAAATTGTGCAATAAAAACCTGATTATATATATATTAAATTAAATTAAATTAAAAATGAAATTTTTAACAAAACAAAATAAAGAAACTAGAAAAACCAATAGGGAAAAGCATATTTTCGTGGAATCAAATGTTTAAATAGTAAAGTACGAACTTAATCATGACAAACTCGAAACAATTCGTCTGCTTACATATATATTAAATTAAATTAAATTAAAAATGAAATTTTTAACAAAACAAAATAAAGAAACTAGATAAACCAATAGGGAAAAGCATATTTTCGTGGAATCAAATGTTTAAATAGTAAAGTACGACCTTAATCATGACAAACTCGAAACAATTCGTATACGAAGCGTATAATCGATATTCTCTTTCTCTCTTTTTCTGGCAACCGGTTACCATCGAAGATTCGTTCGTGCGCGAGCTGTACTGCTATTAATCGAATAGTTTCCACGCAATTAAAAGTCCGACAGATGGGTACCACGTGATTCGTTGAACGTTTTCCACGATAAAATATTATACGTGAGTTACCCCCGTTATGTGCGTTAAAACGATACGATGCATGACTCGATGTCGATGGTGATCGTGATGGTGATGGTGGTAGTGATGGTATTGGTAGTGGTGATGGTGATGGTGATGGTGGTGGGTCGCACGCGAATACTCGTTTTTACGTCCGTGCGAAAACCCACATTGAGCCTCTCTTAAATCTCAACGTAGTTACACCACCGTAGTCGATTACGATTCGTTGCAATTTAAATTATGAGATAACTGACTCGATTACACTCTATCTCTATTTCTATCTATCTATCTATTTATCTATCTATCTCTATCTCACTCTCATTCTTTCTCTTTCTGTCTATATATTTCAACGCGAATTTTGTTAAATTTGTTAACTTTGTATAAATAATTTTTGCGTATAATTACTACTTCAAAACAAAATTCTGATCTAATTGGGAAATTCATATGATCGTAATTTCGGTTTAATATCGAAACGATGAGAGAGAGAGAGAGAGATAACTTAATCGATTATCGTTCCATCGTTATTTCTTTTCTCTTTCTTTAAACGTGGATTCGATTTTAATTTGTTGAAGTATGCATAAAAAAAAAAATGAAGAAAAATAAGAACACAATTCTTTTCTTCTCGTATTTAATCTAATTAAAAAAAAAAAAAAAAGTAATACCCTACGAAATTTATATATCACGTATTATATAACTTAATTATTTAAACTTTGAAATTATTTGTTGACAAAAAAAAAACAAGACAGACAAATAAAATAATTAATTACTAATATACGAAAGCCCAATATGATAATCTTCAAATAAATATCATACGTTTTTTTTTCTTTTTTTTTTTAAGTTAAATAAAAAGAAGTAGTAGAATTAGAAGTAAAACAACAACAATAACAACACGAAATAAGAATAGAATTTAACAAAAGTACCGTAACATTATACGTCTAATATAATAGTGATTGTGTGAGTCTTCTTACTATATCTAATGGCGTGTTTCCTAATGCATTGTAACGATATGGAAAGCCACGGGGGAGCACACGGAAATAATAAAAGAAGTACCGCCATGCCAGGGCGTGTCGTCGGCAGGTCACGAGAGTGTAAAACGAGTACGTTGAAAAATACCCCCCCATTCCCACCCCACTCCTCCACATCCCGTCTGAAATGTGATTAATAACGCTCGGTATAAGTTGACATGGTTGCAAGTAACATTGACTTCTTAATTCCATCTCGCATGGAAAACAACAACAAAAAAAAAAAGAAATAAAACTCGTGCGATAAGTATAACAAGTATTTTGCGATTAACAATGATATGTAAATATACGTAATACAGAATTTCTTAGAAAAACACGATTATACTTTCTATATTCTTGTACGATAATATATTTTCTCTTTTTAAACGCGTCATTTTATTTTACGTTAAATTATTACACTGACATTTCCATTATTATCCAATTATCCGACTAGTATTCGAATAACGTTTATACAATAACGATTTCTACTTCAAATAATTAAACGATATAAACTTAAACTTAACACGAGTCTCACTATAATATATTATATTAATAATATTAATTATCGTAACACGCGTATTGTTGTCTATTATTTAAACGAATAATCGAAATCTTTTAAATGGATCCACTCGAAGTGATTATTAAAAATAAATTTCACACTTTTTTTTCTTTTTTTTTTTTATTGTCCTTCGAAAAAAACTTAAATGGAAAATTAACGAAATAGTAAAAATGATAATAATCGTCTCGAGGGAAAACCTTTTTCGAAGATTCGTTTTTTCCTATTAAATATTACGGGGCAAACAAAATAAAGTAAAGAAAAGAAAAGGAAAGATAAAAGGAAAAAAGATAAATAAGAGAAACAACAAGGACACCGAGAGTATATTATACGTGCTATTGTAGGGGTGGTAAGAATGACGGTGCTAGTGGATAAAGGTAGTCGGAAAGAGGAGGATAAATGAGCCGGAGACTAAGGGCGAAACGTCGGATAATTAGTTTCTTGATCCCGAGACAGAAGGTGACACAAAACACGAAGAAAACAGGGATCTCTAAGAATTCTAATGCCATTGCTCTGACAACTGTCGTTGTTCCTCTTTGTACCCGAAATGCCATTGGCGACGCGTTAACAATTATACATACATATACATATTGAACACCCTTTTAACACATTGACTACCAATTTGCATTATTATCTCTAACACCCCACCAACTACGAGTTATCTTGTAATTTGTTTTAAATCTCGTATACTATAAATAAATATATAGAAATATATAGAAATTTTGAAAATATTCTTTTATCAAAATTCTGTTAATTAATATACAAAAAAAATTAATAATTATACAATCTATATATAAAATACTTAACAATATAAAAAATTAGAATTTATTGTAATGTTTTATATTTATTAAAAAGTCATAATAAAAATTTTTTAGTTGCTGATGAAGTCCCCAGTAAGGAACGAAACGTACAACTAGTTGAAAATAAATTGTTCATCAGATTTATTAACCGTCTATAATTTACTTTGAGACTTATATATTAATATATTTTTTGGACAAGAATATTGATAATTAAATACTTAACAATATTTCTATTTAATTACATTGATTATATACGAATTATTTAATAATATTTGTACCAATGGAAAATGAATTGACTCAATTATCAAGGATATTTATTTGAGAGATTCGATTAAAAATGGTGACATTGCGGGACATGAATCAGTTCTATATCGAGTGTCCTCCTCCCAACGAAAGGGCTTCTTACGTTGGATAATGTCCGGATAATGCACTCATTTAAATGCATGCTAGCCGAGCATTACTTCACGTTGGTAAGCCAAGGGCTTGAAGAGAGAGAGAGAGAGAGAGAGAGAGAGAACCAAGTGTATTAGGTTTGATCGTAATAATAGTACCCTTTTCCCTAGAAACTCTTCTTTTCCTTCATAAAGACGTTCTTCCATTTGGAAATTTGCTGACATCGAAATACGTAGAAAAAAAACAAAATTCTTCTCGATTTCGATTCGAACAAACGAATCCCTAACCCCCCACTCAACCAACTGGCCCACCCCTCTCACTCAGCCCCCATTACGAATACAAAATAAACTTACGATCGATTTTCAACAAAGTATATTATAATTTCGTAAATGCAAAAGGAGAATGTTTGAGAGTATGTTTGTTAGGAAGTGTAACGTGGTTTGTCTGAAGGAACGAAGGCTAATAATGTGGTTAATCAATGGTCGAGTTATGCTACCGACATTGACTACACCCCGACCGCTGACAATTTCGCACAGACCTCGAAAATCAGCGCGATCTAATGGACATAATATTTCTCGTTGACTGGCCACAATGTCCTTTGAGTATCGTTCAAAAGCTTGCCCCATTAGAGAATATGTATCTAATATATTATAATAGACATTTATATATATGTATAATTGAAGTATCTAATAATCGAAAAAAACTATACTACAAAAAAGTCATTTTAAATAATGCTACTATAATATATATATTTATTAATA